TTTACTGTATTTTTCTGGGTTTTTCATAATTTTGTTGTTATCAGTAATTAGGGTTTTAAGGGTGAAAACCCACATTTCTTGGTTAATTGGCTTGGGGGAGGAGTCATGGGGGATAAAAGAGGGCCACTCTCCCTCCCTCAGTCAGTTCCAACCTGGACCTGGAAGAGGAAGGTAAATAACAGAAATTTAAGCAGACTTTTGCTGGTGTGTTTGTATATATTGTAAATACTTTTTCTTGTTTCACTTTTTGTTGTATAGCACTCTTCAAACTTTCTTTATTTGGGAACACTAATTAAACACTCAAAAAACATCCTTCTGACTACGCCATCGTTATTACAATAAGATAGAACCCCGTCACATGTGGTGTCAGAAGTGGGATGGCTGGTCGAAGAAAGAGAAAGGGGCTCCGTTCCCAGAGAAAGTTTGAAGAGGAGGCTGATGGCAGTGCAGAAGAGACACTCCATGAAGAGGGCGCTGCTGTGCAACCTATGGGTGAACTCTTGGGCTTGATGAGGGACTTTATGGCGGGCCAGCAGAAGAGAGAGGAGGGACTGCTAGAGGAGATACGCAACCTCCATGTAACGCTGCGCTCACCTTCTCCTGCCAGATCTGGGAGTCAAGGCCCCAGTGAGGACAGTCCCAGCCCACGGTTTGCACTGCCAACCCCTGCACCTTCCAGGCGACCGCAGGGGGAGTCAACAACACTACACCGGCCAGAGGAGAACGCTAGCAGTCTGGAGTTAGCGCCACCTCTGGAGTGGAGACCATACAGTGTGGAGCCGAAGATACCTCCATACCAGAGTGGAGAGGATATAGAGAACTATCTGCTCCGTTTTGAGAGAATTGCAAAGACTTGGAAATGGCCAGAGACTGAGTGGGCATGCCGCCTTGTGCCACTCTTGTCGGGGAAAGCGTTGGAAGCGTACACGGCCATGGATGAGGATGAGGCTCACTGCTATAGGGATTTAAAATCAGCCCTGTTAGAGAAATTTGACATTTCCCCTGAAACATACAGGCAACGGTTCCGCTGTCCCACAGTTCCATCAGGAGAGACCCCTACCGAGACATACCATCGCCTCAAAAGCCTGTACCGGAGGTGGGTTCGTCCTGAGCAGCTCACCAAGGAGCAAATCGGAGAGATGATCATCCTGGAGCAGCTTCTCCGAGTCCTGCCAGCCGACGTCCGCACCTGGGTCCGAGAGCATGAACCTGAGGATGGCCTGACCGCAGCGAAGTTGGCTTTGCAGCACCAGAACGCCCGTCGAGGGGGACCTCCGCGTTTCACCAGCTCAACACCAAGGTCGTCGCAACATCCACCACCACCACAGCAGATCGGAGGGACCAGCCACGACTCTCGAGGTACTCCCAGCTCTTCCACCAGCCAGCCAGCGACCGGTAAGCCATTCGTTTGCTATTACTGTCGACAGCAGGGTCACAAAGCGTCTGTGTGCCCAGTTCGCAAAGACAAACTCACTGGGGCCTGCTATGCACCCCGTGAGGAGGGTGAACTGGTTGGCGCCCATGGCTTGAAGGAGCGTACCTTAAAAACTGTGACTTTAAATGGCCAGCGGGTGACTGCACTATTGGATAGTGGTAGTTTTACATCCCTGGTGAAGGAAAGCTATGTACCTGTGAACTCTGTGGACTATGGCCTGAAAACTGACATTGTGTGTGTCCATGGTGATAGCCATGCATACCCCAAAGCCGAAGTGACTGTGGTAATTGATGAACAACCATACCTAATGACTGTTGCTGTGGTAGAGAACTTACCTGTAGACCTTGTCCTTGGAACTGACTTACCTGTACTGTTAGACCTCTTGCAGGGATCAGAATGTGATCTCACAGGTCACAGGCCAAAACTGGTGTTGAACCCCTGCCTGACCTAGATGATGATTTGTGTGAGGGGGGAACAAAGGGGCCTAGAAAGTCTAGACGCCAGAGGCGATTTGAAAAACAGCTAATGCTAAATGATCAGAATCAGAAATTGGATGTGGATGAACTATGGAAGGTTCCAGAGAATATTGCCGAATTACAGAGGCAGGATGTGACATTGAAACACTGTTTTGATAAAGTCAGTGGTAATGCTAATGCTAATTCTAATGTAACTGGTAAAGAAATGTTCTCTTTGTTTGATGATGTGTTGTATGTCTGTAACAATGCTCTCAAACGCCTTGTTGTCCCTGCGCCTTGTAGACAGCTGGTTATGCGTATTGCGCACACCCTTCCATGGGCTGGGCATTTTGGCCGCCATAAGACCTACTTGCGCGTTAGTGCTCGTTTTTATTGGCCCGGCATGTATCAGGACATTCAGGCCTACTGCACTACCTGCCCTATTTGCCAAAAGACTGCCCCAACCCGAAAGTCAGAGCGTGCTCTCCTCCATCCACTGCCAGTCATCTCCACCCCCTTTCGCAGGATAGCAATGGACATTGTTGGCCCATTAGTCAAAAGTGCCCGGGGTCACCAGTACATTCTTGTGATTTGTGACTATGCCACCAGATACCCCGAGGCCTTCCCACTCCGCACCATCACTGCCCCCGCTGTCCTCCGTTCACTAGTTCAGTTGTTCTCCAGAGTCGGGATCCCAGATGAAATCCTCACTGATCAAGGAACTAATTTTACATCTCGTCTTTTACAGCTGTTCCACAAGCAGCTGGGAATCACGGCCCTGCGAACCACACCATATCACCCCCAAACTGATGGTCTCGTTGAAAGGTTCAACCAAACTCTGAAGAGGATGCTTCAGAAGTTTGTTTCGGACACCGGAAAGGACTGGGACAGATGGCTGCCGTTCGTCCTCTTTGCCTATCGGGAGGTGCCACAGGCCTCCACCGGATTTTCACCCTTCGAGCTCCTATACGGTTGGGACGTTCAAGGACCCTTGGACCTGCTGGGCAAAGCATGGACTGGCACAGAAACAAAGTCCAGTGAGCAGGGGATTGTCCAGTACGTGCTCCAGATGAGGGACCGGCTGTCCCGGTACCAGGAGGAGGCTGAGGAGAACCTGAGGGAGGCCCAGAAGAAGCAGAAAACCTGGTATGACCAACAGGCCAGAGAAAGAGACTTTCAAGCCAGGCCAAAAGGTTCTTCTCTTGCTCCCTTCCTCAAATAGCAAGCTGTTGGCAAAGTGGCAAGGCCCATATACCGTCACAAGGAAGATGGGACCTGTCACATATGAGATCTATCAACCTGACAAGAAGAAGCCCCGGCAAACCTACCATGTCAATCTCTTGAAGGCATGGAAAGAGTCCCCTGCTGTAGCTCCTGAGGCAGCACTGCTGGTGAGACAGGTGGATGTGGAGGAAGAGGAGGACCCTGGTGTTCCCGTAGTCTCCGAAACCTCAGAGCCCCTCATCGCCCACCTCTCTGCAGACCAAGCTGCCGATCTCCTGAAGGTCTTCAGAGACATGCCCTCGTTGTTTGCTGCGGAACCCGGCAGGACTACTCTGATGGAGCATGTGATTCGGCTGAAAGACCGGAGTCCCATTCGTCAACGCCCCTACCGTGTCCCTCAGCAGCTGGTAGCACAACTACGTCGAGAGATTGAGTCCATGTTGGAGCTGGGAGTCATTGAACCTTCAACATCAGAGTGGTGCAGCCCGGTTGTCATTGTGTTTAAAAAGGATGGATCCTTGCGCATCTGCATAGACTTTCGCAAACTCAATTCCATCTCAGAGTTTGACGCTTACCCAATGCCAAGGATCGATGACCTCCTGGATCGCATCGGGTCTGCTGCCTACATCACCACACTGGACCTGTGCAAAGGCTACTGGCAGGTGCCCCTGGAGGCTTCCAGCCGACCCTACACAGCCTTCAGAACACCAGCAGGACTATACCAATTTACTGTTATGCCTTTCGGCTTGCATGGAGCCCCCGCAACCTTCCAGCGCCTCATGGACAGAGTGCTACAGGGCTGTGAGGAGTTCAGTGCTGCGTACCTAGATGACGTCGTGATCTTCAGCGAGACCTGGGAGCAGCACGTCCAGCACCTGAAAGCTGTCCTGCAAAAGATCCAAGCCGCGGGACTCACACTGAATGTGGCCAAGTGTGAGTGGGCCCGCCATGAAACCCGGTACCTGGGCTACCAGCTGGGAAGGGGGGAGGTGCGACCACAGTTGGATAAGGTTGAAGCTATCCAAAACTGCCCTCGTCCACGAACCAAGAAGGAGGTGCGATCCTTCCTGGGCCTGGCTGGGTGGTACCGAAGGTTTGTTCCTCAATTCGCCACAATCGCAGCACCACTCACAGCTTTAACAACCAAACAACAGAAAAATCCGGTGACTTGGACTGATGAATGTGAAAAGGCCTTCAACACCTTAAAATCTCTCCTATGCTCATCCCCAGTGCTACGCAGTCCTGACTTCAGCCGCCGCTTCCTTGTCCAGGTCGATGCCTCTGAGGTGGGTTTGGGAGCAGTCCTTGCCCAGGGGGAGTCTGGAGCCGAGCAGCCCATCTTGTACCTGAGCCGCAAGCTCCTACCCAGAGAGTCCAGATACTCAGTGGTTGAAAAGGAAGGTCTTGCCATTAAGTGGGCCCTGGAGAGTCTCAAATACTACCTGCTCGGAAGGGAATTTGACCTGGAGACGGACCATCGAGCCCTCACGTGGATCAGCTCGATGAAGGACCACAACAGCCGATTGACCCGCTGGTATCTGTCACTGCAGCCCTTCAAATTCATAGTTCGACACCGGTCTGGAAAGTCTAACTTCGTTGCTGATTACCTTTCCAGGTTGCCAAGGCTTGGTCCGCCTTGGGGAGGAGGAGGATGGTGTGACGGAGTCGCTCCGTCCGAGCACGCGCTTACTTAAGCACGCCCGAACAAGCCCGCGTCAACTACCCACCTGTTTTCATTCATTCCGCACCGTACCCCGCTCTGTTGCTCACTCCTCGTCTATCCACTCCGGTCCCCGCTAAATATTTTCCGTCCGCTCACCACCGCAGTAGCCTTGGGTGCACACAAGTCCGCTGCCAAATCCTTCACCTCCATAACTTCGTCTTCCATCTACCTTTCCGCATTATCCATCCCCTGTCCTTACGCCCCACTGGCAAACAGAGCACTGATCTGACACCTCCTTTTTCCGGTTTCGTGCGCGGGATCTCCGCATGTGACGTCACTGCGACGTCATCACTAAAAAACCACAGTTAATAATAAAATATTTATTGCTCATTTCCTATTGCTGCTACAGGCGCAGAGGTATGGCCATTTAATTTACTGTATTTTTCTGGGTTTTACATAATTTTTGTTGAAAACGTTAAAAACCAAACTGTATTGCTGGGGGAGTGAAAAAAGGGCTCTCCTCTGGCATGACTGGAAGAGGAAGTAAAAGAAAAACTTTTGGGATTTTAAACGTTCGGTCACTTTTTGTAAACAAATTCGGTAAACATTCATCATGTCAAGACAAACAAAAAATGTTATTATGGCCACGCCCCCTGACAAACCAGAAGGCGGCCATCTTGGATTGAAATTTCAGTCCGCATTTTCGTTCACATTGCGTTTGAACGAACTCCTCTGAAGGCGCTTCACCCACAGGGCTGAAAATCACCGTACATCATCTAGACAAGTGGAACATCTAAAGTTAGCTGATTTTTTTTGATAACTGTCACGGTTTACGTGCGGCGAAGCCGCAAAATTTGGTCAAAGTTTTGGCGAATTTCAAGGTGACATTATTTGCTCCTGTTCGCACAGACTTAGTCCGATCGTGCTGAAATTTGAATCACTAATGTGTGATCTCAGTCTGAATATAATACACTATAAAACATATGAAAAAACACTATAGCGCCCCCTACCATAGACATGAAACGTCAACATTATCAGATCTGCACCAAATTTGGGAATTACATTCTATGCATAATTACGAGCAAAAAAGTATATTATGGACATGGCGAATTTTTCACTGTTGGCCAGCAGGGGCGCTAAAACTCCTCCCAAAAATATTTAAAAATATATTACACGCACATGCTTAGTCCCATCATGCTGAAATTTGAATCACTAATGTGTGATCTCAGTCTGAATATAATACACTATAAAACATATGAAAAGTGAACACTATAGCGCCCCCTACCATAGACATGAAACGTCAACATAGTCAGATCTGCACCAAATTTGGGAATTAAATTCTATGCATGATTACGAGCAAAAAATTATATTATGGACATGATACCATTTTCACTGTTGGCCAGCAGGGGCGCAAAGACTCAAAAATTTGGCTCCTATGGGATACGTCCCGGTCAACTTTGTCATAGAGCCATGAAATTCGCTACATACATTTGTCATGTCAAGACAAACAAAAAATGTTATTATGGCCACGCCCCCTGACAAACCAGAAGGCGGCCATCTTGGATTGAAGTTTCAGTCCGCATTTTCGTTCACATTGCGTTTGAACGAACTCCTCTGAAGGCGCTTCACCCACAGGGCTGAAAATCACCGTACATCATCTAGACAAGTGGAACATCTAAAGTTAGNTAATTAAACACTCAAAAAAACATCCTTCTGACTACGCCATTTTATTACAATAAGATAGAACCCCGTCACAGGTACACACATTCATCATGTCAAGACAAACAAAAAATGTTATTATGGCCACGCCCCCTGACAAACCAGAAGGCGGCCATCTTGGATTGAAGTTTCAGTCCGCATTTTCGTTCACATTGCGTTTGAACGAACTCCTCTGAAGGCGCTTCACCCACAGGCCTGAAAATCACCGTACATCATCTGGACAAGTGGAACATCTAAAGTTAGCTGATTTTTTTGATAACTGTCACGGTTTACGTGCGGCGAAGCTGCAAAATTTTTGGTCAAAATTTTGGCAAATTTCAAGGTGACATTATTTGCTCCTGTTCGCACAGACTTAGTCCGATCGTGCTGAAATTTGAATCACTAATGTGT